CACTTGCCATCCTCAGGCTGGTGTTTTTGTGGCTGGAGCTGTCGTCTTTCTATAAATCTTGGTGGTGGTGTGTGGAGTGCTGGTTTTCCAGTGGTAGAGAGGGAGTGGTCACATGTGGCTTTTCTCAAAGTCTGATTGGTCCAAGACTGAGAGTAAAACTTCTTAAATGCTCCTTCCTGCCTTTCTAGCCCAGTTTCCTCTCAGTCTCTTGGTCCAAGCACTGCTTGAGTTGTGGGTAGAGAGATAGTGTGTATTTTTTCCTATTTTGCTTCAATTGGCTTACTATATTTGGTTCAATTGGACATTTTAAATTTGCTTAAATTTACTTAAAATTCCATTTGTAGCTGCGGCCCAGGGGTCAGTCCTTTCTGCCTCCGGTGGTGGTGGGACTGTGGGGGGTTCTGACCCTCCCATCTGTGGGCCCGGAGCCTCAGACCTGTCCCCGGGGTTGCGGGGGTGCTGTGCTCCAGCGCAGCTGTCGCGGGGGCCATGATTCTTTGGCAGGCCCAACAGAAGGCTCCTCTAGTGGCTCGAAGTACCTACGAGGTTTGCGGAGCCTCCGTTTGCATTTGGGCGGCTGTTGCGTGCTGCGCTGAAAGGGCCAGCACAGCCTGAGCTTCAGGGGGGGTGCGAGCCGTTGTGCCGTGGGGCCCCCTGGATCGTGGAGCACACAGCTGAGATAGTCGGGTGCGCCCATTGCTATTCATTTCGGCCCCTGGTTTGGCCTCGCTAGCCATTTGTGAGCCATTTTGGCTGCTGCCATGTACGCGAGGCCTTCCTCGTTTGCACGACCATTGCGAGGCCCAGGCTGGGGGTGATCGGCCTAGTCCTACTGCTTATCGTTGGGGGCTCAGGCTCCGGTGGGGCCTACAGAGGCCTGCTCTTCTTCCGCACCTTCCAGGACACGTAAGTGGGGAGTATGGAGGAGGGATCGGGAATTCCCCAGGGCCAGACAGAAGGCCCATTGCGGGGAGAAGTGGAGCAGGGTCCCAGACCTGGGGAGTCCCTGTTAAGGCCCCTGGCATCCCAGTGCCCCTCTATGGCCTCCACGAGACAAGAAGCCAGGAAGCATAAGGCGCTTGAAAAGACTTTCTCCAGGGCTGAGAGACAGGCCTGTCTCAGCTAGCAGGTCCAGGTCTCCGATCAGGTCCCCTTCTGGGCATTCTTCGCCTCGAGGTTTCAGCCCTTCTTCCTCGGGCTCCCAGGCCAGATCCTGCAGCTACTCCAGGCGAAGGAGGTCTCCTTCCCCTTCCCCTACGGCTTCCCTGAGTCTGTCAAGGGACAAGTAAGTGCATCCCTTGGAGGGGACATCTAGAGGGCCTTGTTCTTCACGCAGGTTGGCACCTCAGGGGCCTGGCACTTCTTATGGGGACATGGAGAATCTGGAACACCTTCCTGAAGGTATTAAATGGCTTATTTCTGCAGCCATTTCGCAGGGCATTGCCCAGCAGGACAGGAGTTCCCATTCTTCTATGTTACAAGGGGGGCCGGGCCGGCACCAGTATAGGGCTTCCTCCCCATCCATGGTTAGCGAGGCCTCAGTCATGGGGGAGGAGAATCCTCATGACGAGGATGCGGCCCCTCCCAATCCTCCGTCTTCCTCGGGCCTGTTTGCCCCAGCCATGTTCAAGACACTCCTGAATAAGGCGAGGAAGACCACTAAAATTGGGATGGGGGATCCTGGGACATGGCCATGTTTTCCAACACGGCTACGAACAAGGAGGAGATTCCTGCTCCCCCCTTGTTTATGGAGGTCCTGACCAACTAGTGGGCTCGCCCTTCCAATTTTTCTAATCCAGGAAGCAATGACCGCTGCTTCTTCTGTTGGACCTTGCGGGTCAAGTGGGCTTGTTGTTAACATACCTACCTCCTAACAGCGTTGCAACAGCCCTCCCCTCACTCCTCGATCCAGTAGCCGAGCTGGCAGTAGAGTTCCCCAGGCTTATGGTGCTGGGGGATTTCAACCTGCCTTTGCTTGGCGAGCACTCTGATGGGGTGCAGGAGTTCATGGCTTCCATGACAGCCATGGACTTGACCCAAGTAATTCGGGGTCCGACTCACTCAGCGGGTCACATGCTTGACCTTGTATTCCTCTCGGAGCAGTGGAGACGTGATCTAGATTTGAAGGGCATTGAGATCTTGCCCTTGTCATGGTCTGATCACTCCGTACTGAGGCTTGACTTTCGGAAACCAATCCCCCACTG